AGGACGTGACGCTTGTCGTCGCCCCTCTTATGGGGCGCCAGTGACCGCATTATGTGATCAGGGGCCATGGCGCCACTGGGATTCGCACCTGGCCTTCCTACATGGGAGTCCGACGCAATTACCACTCGGCCATAACAAGATACCCACCTGGTGGGCGCAAAATGACCTTAGTTGTCGGCGGGCCCTAAAACCCCAATCAACAACAAAAACGCCTACCTGGTCTTTGGCAATGTGGCCACACACGCTATTTCCTAAAAATCACATCCTGATTTCCAAAAAGGATGGTCAAAAACTGCTGAAAGAATCGACCGATTTGCCTCCTGGATGTTTTATGCAAGATCCATGCTAAAATTCTTGCGATACGGCGGAATAGGATTTTGGGAACTTTGGTCGATGAAATCAAAATGGATTTGTCAAAGAAAGAAACATGTGTGATTATTTAAGGGTCATGTAAAATGTAATTGACTGCTGTAATTGACGACAGTTCGGGTATATTATGTGCTTTGCATGTTGAAACAACATTAAATTCCATTGGGCATTGCTTGGTATTTAACTGTTGCGACACTTAAATTTCGCGGTAGATTTCCAGACTTGGGTGCAGCTTTAAAATCGTTCAAATCTTGCAGTGCTCAACGACGTGTACACCTCTCATTAGTTTCCGCACCAAACGGGGCTTACACAAGTCTACCCCCTGTAGAATGTTTTTTGCACTGTTTGTTAAAACGTTGGCAATCAAAATAATGACGCCAAATAGCACAAGGGGAATCGACATATCTAGAATAAAAATGAGAGCGCAGCAGCACGCAGATGGCACCACAAGTTTGTTACGGACGTGATATTTGCGCAGGAGTTGCTGTATCTCTTGAAGACCTCCGGGACTTCTGGGCTGGACTTATATTAAACACAGCAGAGTTCATGTGTCTGGGCCTCTGTCGTTTTAATAGGCAATCAGTGTGTGGTAACCAGCCTTGTAAGAAAATTGAGATCTTAGGTATCTGGTTGTTTGCGAAGGAATTTTTTTCGGAAAAAGCTTGAATCATATTATCCATGACACCCACGTAATGTTGAATTCGTGGTCATAAAGGCATCTTAGCATCAAGGGTGGAATAACTTTGGCCAGTAATTTGATAATGGTCATTGTCACGAAGGATTACGGTGCAACGCTTGTTATGACTTTTGGAAGGATTTAAAGAATTTCAGCGTTGGTTTTCTATTTACACACCTTTTATCAGCGATTTTCGGCCAGCAATGTTCCTCAGGGATTTAAAGACCTACTCGTAAAGACGCATCATTTTCTAACCACGCACCTTTTATCAGCGATTTTAGGCTAGAAATGTTTCTCAGGGATCTAAAGACCTTCTCGTATAAAGACGCATCATTTTCTAACCACACACCTTTTATCTGGGATTTTTGGTTAGGAATGTTTCTGCAGATATTTGATAAACATGCTTGTAAGGGCGCATCATTTGATCAAAGGAAATGCTCCACATTTGTATGACGTTTTGAACTGAAATATCCATTTTTTTTAGCACCTTTGGATGCAGTTTACGACCATGCCCTTTTTAAGATCCAAAGCCCTCTGGTTCCTGAGTCACACGTCCGCAAAAAAAGCGAAAAGGTTTATTTGGGGCCTATTTCAAAGCCGCCTCCGCAATGATGATGTCAGAAAAACGGCATACGATGGCCTTGATGTTACAGGCTGTTTTCTGCTTGTGGTCAAGACAGCATGGCCGCTGGCGCATTCGCAAACAGTGACGAAATGGGGCGCATTTTTACAAACTTCTGAAATTTTGCTACTTAGCGTCGTTTCTGAACCTTGAAAGCTTACCAATAGCTACAAGTAAGCTTTTCCAATCATATCTGATGCCTGCCTGAATATCTTAAAATGTGGAACATTCCCTTTAAATTACGGATAGCTGCTGTAAATAGAATCATGTTTTTATGGAGAGGTATGATACTAGATCTCCTTCCGAAGCTTTTCAAAACTTTTTAAAAGCATTCGATGGCATCTCTGATGCAAACGTGGCAAGGAAACTTCTATTTCCTTGTAGCATCCCGGTTCATAGGCATGCAGCACTTTGAGGGCTTATTTTCAGTAATAACAGAGCTTGCCTACAGTGGTTTCAGAGCTTACTGGGCTTACGTACCATAACATGATTAAAAATGAGTGGTCTTGGGACGAAATGGTTCTCAAAGCTTACCCCTCGCCGCACACCACGGATGGAAACAATAAGAGGGCAGCCGGTACTACCACACTTGACCGATGCACATTACTGTTTGCCAGGCATAGCATTTTCATAGAATATGGGTGAACTTAATATATAGGCTTAATAAGTGTCTTTGAATGGTCTTCTTAAATAAAGCATTTGTTCTTTCTTTGGGTGCATGTGATTACCTGTTGCATGTTAATAAAACTGCATAGAACCACCAATTTTTCCCTGTCGAAGTGTTTAAAATATCCTGAAACAACCTTTTCCTTGTCAAAGTGTTAAGTATACACTGAAACTTATAGTAGCATTTTAAGAACGTTTTAAAACGTTTCAGTGCTTTAATCCGTCGTGAAAATGGCTAATATCTTACCTGAATTACATACTAACATGCTTAGTGATCCCCATTCGTATCCCCAACTCAACCAGATCCAAAGTCTTACAATTAAGTATATCTTGCGTGGTGTGCACCAAAGGTGACTCGCGTGCATGGTGTCAGTCTGTTAGGCAAGACGGCTTAGGTGCAACTTCAATGCACGGCCTAGGCAATGCATTGATACTTAGTTGGGTCATTCAACTATTTAACTTCACGTCTAAGTATCAACACAAACTTCAGCATCGCGTTGATCCCTCTCCCGCCGAGATATTGTTCGGAACGAGATTTTGCGATAAGTTGGTTTCTAAAGGCAGGCTTACTACTTCTAGATACATTCCAAAGGTGTATAGTTATCTTCTGCAAGGCAGAACATGACAAGGCGAAATTGATAAGAGGGAGATACTTGTTAGTGTAATTCCCGCAAGATGGAAGCCTTGCGCGATGGAAGAATGCATGAATGTATATCTATGCAGGCGAGAGAAGCCAAGGTTAAGGCTTGATTAGTCATGCATAGGAAGCTATTAATAACGCTCAAAACTGAAGATTAATGCCCCTTTGGATTACTCGCGAACGGAAAGCGTTGCAAAAATGGAAGTCGACAGTGTAGCTCCCGAATCTCGGTCCGAACATCTTGAAATACCTTACTACTGTTGAGTGCCTACACGGCCCCAGTCGTTCCAATTTCAGGTAGTGCACAGATACATTCTTATCAAACGGTTCTTGTGTGTAAGGCTTATTGCAGAATCACAACAATGCACGTATTGTGGGAGAGATGACACTTTGGCCCATTGCCTCTTCAGCATTCAGTTGGTTCATGCATTTTGGTGCGATATATTTCTATCCCGGGTATGTGATGCCTATCCGTGCTCTACTTGACACACCTGTGACTATATTTACTATGTGGAATGCTCCATGTGTGGTAGATCCATGTCTATCCGTGTTCTACTTGACATGCGTGCGGCTATATTTAGTGTGTGGAATGCTCCATGTGTGGTAGATTCCGCCACCTTCCTGGCCGGGCAGTTGTACGTTTGGAGCGGCTCAATATAATCATTTTTCTCTAGATGATTTCCTACCACAAATCAAGCAATTCTTAGATGCCGAACGAATGATGACATTAAAAGGTGGGCCTCAGAAGAAGGGAATCATAGAAAAATGGCGAGATATTTCTGGTGGTGTCCTCTAAATGTTATACCTAAATGCGGGAGGTGAAACGCAGCAACCGCGCCAGCTCGAGGCGGAGTAACCTCCCAGCAGAGGCTTAAGGCCCCGTGCATAAAGGTGATGTGGTATCGTTTCCAATGCCTCTGCTAGCATCGGTATATGATACATGTGTTGTGATATATGTTTCCTGAAGTGTTAAGTGTACAAAAGTAATAAGAAACTAGCCCTGAAAAGGATAAATGCTTATTCCAAGTTATTTTTGGTTTCATATCGGTGAGGTTTTCCACAGCTTTTTGCATATACATTACGTATTGCGTGACTTGAGGTATCAACAACTTTCAATAACGTTCAGTTCACACTAGTAACGTAAGCAGATGGGAGCCAGTCTGCGGTATGATCTGTTTGTTGGACGCATCGGGTCTTTGGGTCCACAAATCAATGCATGTTAAAGGGGCTCAAATATAGAATCCCAATATGGAAGCCTCGCATGTCTTCATTCTACGGATAAGATGACTAAAAAAGGTGCTCATCGTCATCAAAAAAGTGACACATATCGCTATGCGTATCACAAGCACACAGGGGTACTGCGCTGCGCGGTCCCAGGCGGGCGCCGCTGTTCCACCCCACCGAGCTGTCAGTAGAGCAGACGCCCTGTCACGGGGGATTGACCACCGGACTGTCGCCAGAGCAGACGCCCTGTCACGGGGGATTGGCCACCGGACTGTCGCCAGAGCAGACGCCCTGTCACGGGGGATGGACCACCGGGCTGTCGCCAGAGTAGGCGTGCTGTCACGGGGGATTGGCCACCGGACTGTCGTCAGAGTAGGCGTGCTGTCACGGGGGATTGACCACCGGACTGTCGTCAGAGTAGGCGTGCTGTCACGGGGGATTGACCACCGGACTGTCGTCAGAGTAGGCGTGCTGTCACGGGGCATCGAAACCGACACTGGGCTGCGGCCAGCTGAGTGCCTGCATTTTCACACCCAGTGTCTCCCTCGCCGGAGTGTCTTCAAACTTGTCGGGGCTCTGACGCTGAGGCTGAACGACGAACACGACTGTATGCGGACGTCGCTGGGGCACGTTCTTACGTTGAGGCGCGCCATGCCCGTGACTGATGTGTGCGGACGTCGCTGGGGTACGTTCTTACGGCGAGGCGCGCCATGTCCGTGACTGATGTGTGCGGACGTCGCTGGGGCACGTTCTTACGGCGAGGCGCGCCATGTCCGTGACTGATGTGCGGCCATTGTCGTCAGGTCGTCCCCGAAGCCGAAGCCGTGCCTGGTACGTCGCCGAAGCTCGGACTCACCAACGCCGGGTTCTTCGTCCCCCATGTCGCGGCCATCGGTGGCGGAGCAGGTGAGACGCAAGCCCTCGCCCCCCCCCCCCCCCCCCCCCATGTCGCGCGGCCGTCAGTGCGGAGCAGGTGAGACGCAAGCCCTCGCCCCCTCCCATGTCGCAGCCGTCGGTGCGAAGCAGGTGGGAGCGCAAGCCCTCGTCCCCCATGTCGTGGCCGTCAGTGCGGGGCAGGTAAGAGCGCGTCTGGTCTCTGGCCGCCCTCCGTCTGGCCGCTCGCTGTCCTCCGTCGGCCGTGCCATGTCGACGGTGTCTCGGTTCCCGGAGAGCCTGCCGACCGAGGCACCGCCGGCTGTGTTGTGTGAGGGACACGGATTCGTGGGGGTGCCGGTCGCTGTCTGGCATAAACAGCGACGTGTGCTCCCACCGGAGTCAAGCGCTCGCTCGCGATAGCTCGGACACTCCTCGGCTGCCACTTTCTCACCAAGTGCTATTATTTTCGCTCTGGGATGCGAAAGCAAATATGCACAGCTGCGTGGCATGTTCAGGGTTGCTTTCCAACTGCTTCTATGAGCTGACCTCACTAGAGTCAGTGGTAGATCGTACCCTTGTTCCTGCCCGTGCCCGTGCGTCGCTGGGGGGCAGAAGGCCGGCGGCATCTCAGGGCGCTCGAGTCCCGTACCGTCAGGCGAATGCCCGTGCTTTACTCGGACAGGGCTGGTCGTTGTGGGATCGTGCGCTGTTTGAGTTGGCTCGGGCGGTCGTTACGTGGTTAAATGCAATGCCAACGCGACGTGCCTCTTGCGCCGCTCAGCAGCGGGGCTGCGGAGGATGAAATCGGCTTGAACCGGCCGGGCCGGCGCTGAAGTGCCGCTACTGACGAACCGGCCGGGCCGGCGCTGAAGTGCCGCTACTGACGAACCGGCCGGGCCGGCGCTGAAGTGCCGCTACTGACGAAACGGCCGGGCCGGCGCCGAAGGGCCGGTACTGACGAGCCTGCCGGGCCGGCGCTGAAGTGCCGCTACTGACGAGCCTGCCGGGCCGGCGCCGAAGTGCCGCTACTGACGAACCGGCCGGGCCGGCGCGAAGTGCCGGTACTGACGAGCCTGCCGGGCCGGCGCCGAAGTGCCGCTACTGACGAACCGGCCGGGCCGACGCTGAAATGCCGCTACTGACGAACCGGCCGGGCCGGCGTCCAAGTGCCGGTACTGACGAACCGGCCGGGCGGACGCTGAAGTGCCGCTACTGACGAACCGGCCGGGCCGGCGTCCAAGTGCCGCTACTGACGAACCGGCCGGGCCGGCTTCCAAGTGCCGCTACTGACGAACCGGCCGGGCCGGCGCCCAAGTGCCGGTACTGACGAACCATTATCGACTTTCACGAGGCAGGTGTTACAGTGTGAAATCAGCTGTCCGGTCAATATACAGGGCTGAGAATAATGTCGGCTTGGATGGGGCTGGTGCAACTTTACAAAACGGCCCTAATCTGCATGTCCTCGGTGGGAAATAATGAACTGATTTATATGGCAGTCATGGTGGCGGTACGTGATACATTGTATCACATCCGTCACAGTACTGAAGGAAGTGGCGGCATGGTGTAGACCTGACAATGGCGAAGCGCCACGATGAATGATTGAACCAATTTTTAGCCGTGAGGTGCGTACTTTTACTAATTGGTTAACTCAGTCCCGTGATTTAAGGGTTCAAACAAAATTCTTGGGTTGCGGTTTGCGGAAAATGGCTTAGGGGTTAATATCTAGAATGCTGCGGCGTACTTTCATGATTCTTTCGGCACCTTTCTTTTGGCTGAAATTTTCTCTTCGTGCGATACATTCAGTCATTTTGGCCTCAACTCGGGTCCGGTCAGAGGCGGGTAACACTTGGCGGTGCTTTCACTACGCAATGTTTTAGTAGAAAGCGTTCCAGCCGAAGACAACGTGCAAGACTGACAGTGTTTCAGGTGTTCAGGATTTGCCGAAGTTGGAAGGCCGCTTTTGTGACTGCTGGTAGCACGGACAGGTGGTAGTGGTATATTACTAGGACTTAAGTGGTCGAACTCCTGTTGATCACATGCTTGTCATATGATAACATCATCACCTCAGTACAGTGCCTATAAATAAAATCATCGTTGGCTTCTGGAGGGATGAGGGGTGTGGTTCGGCGGAGGGCAATGACGGGATCTGTCGCACCTGCCCCCCCCCCCCCCCCCTCCGCCTCTTCTGTGACTGACACTGTCTTAGTTCAGTTTGGTCGACCTCTTCGCTGGATCGTTAACGCCATTCCCAGAACGTGACAATAAAACGTGAACGTGACAAAGGTCCAGTTCTGACTCGTGTTTGATGTCACTAGGGGAATCTCGTCTGCCCGATGAGATGCGCTCTTGTCGCGCAGAGGCTCGGGTCCCAGCTTCAGTAACGGGTAGACAGCACAAACTGTTCATTGCGGGGCTTAGCGACTCTGCCGGTACGTGACCTTCTGCTCCCTGTCTTGCCCACTCCCTCCCCTTTCACTGGCATTCCCGTATCCCGCCCTCTCACCACCCCCTCATCCTCGTTTTATCGGGGTTGCCGTACCCCTTCGCCCGCGACCCCGGGTCGATCGGATCCTGTGGCTGAGGGGCGCGTCGCGCGGGTCAGTCACAGTGCATCCCAACATTCCATTTTGGTCAGGGTATCCGAGGGCGCGGGGGGGGGGGGGGCGTAGAGCCCCACACGAGGCTAGCGGCCTGTCGCCTGCGCCGCATGTCGGGTGGGCTCCTATGTCTGCCGTCAGTTGTCTCTCAATCAAGGTACAATGTACAATGCAAGGTACAATGACGTGATCAAGCAATGACGTATTTAGGGACATATTTACTAAACAGGGAAATTGTGTTGCCCGGAGCGGTGTTTTCCACTTAAAAGTACTCCAATAGTTGAAAGTGAGCCTATCCCATCGTATGTGATGCTTGCTTCAATAGCTTCAAACGTGGAACGTCCCCTTTAAGAGCACTCCACTAGTCACAAGTGAGCTTTTTCCATCACATTTGCTGCTTGCCTCGACATTTAAATGTGGAACGTTCCTTTCAAGGACGGCGTTGTTTTATGCTTTCTGGAAAACGTTCAAACTCCAACTCGTAAATCTGACCTAAGACGACTAGGGCAGCCTGCGCGCCCAGAAGGCTAAGCCATTACCACGGAATATGCTCTTGGTCCTATGTTCGGCGTTTATTTTTGCGTGCCTTTCCTTGCTCAACCATTGCTTTATGAATGTGCAAGTTGAAAGCTCAGAATGCTTCGGGCTTCCATACAGTTACCTAGTTATAACCAATCTGCGCACGCCTCGCAATTTCCGAGAAGCGTGCAGAAACAAGGTCATCGACCTTGCGCCGTGCGCACTGTGCGAGCGCATCCATTGCCCGCTGTCAACAGTGTGCGCGCTCGGTCAGCTCTGAGGCACCGCATGTGTTCGTCCGGTGCGCACAAACGCGCCAGCTGGGTGGCCTCGGCGCTGGGCGCTCTCAACAAACTGGCGCTTACAGGTCCAGGGCAGATATATGCACAGTACCAGGTATCTGCTGCTCGAACTGCACGCATGGAGTTCTCGCCATAGGGGTGCCGATAGTGTGCAACTTGTGACAACCCGTACAACCTTATAGTGTATAACGGCCACGCCAAGGACAACTTTTTAAACAGAATAAACAACTCACTTTTGATAGCGACAAAGCCATTTTGTCCAAAACCCACGTAAAACACATTAGGAGATATGTTCATCATGCCCCCCCCCCCTATGGTGCTGAAGGCACTTCCGCACGTTGCTACCTGGAGATCAGTACTGTCCGGCACGTGTCGGCCCTACACGGCGTGCTTTTGCTGCGATGCCTGCCTTGAGCTCCTCCACTGTGTGGGAGCTCCTCGCATACCCCGCGAGCTTTAGCCGCCCTCGCAGCAAAAGATATGTGGCTCAAGCCGTGTGAATGGAATGGCCAGCTCCCATGTTCTTTCGATGAGAGGATCCTCTGGCCAAAGTGACCTCGAGGCCACTCCCCGCCCATTTGGCGTGTGAGCCGTTGCGCTGTCCTGCTGAGACCATTTTGAATGAGCTCTGTCGCCCAACTTCCTCTTCCGGGCAATTCGAAGCTTGGTGAGGACCCGTCGGCAGACCCTTCGGCCGCGCGCCGGCCGTCAGCGTTGCCGTCGCCGTCTTCAGACCAGCATGGGCAGAAAGCACCGCTGCTGCGGAACGCTCACCACGCTACGCACGTTTCACTGCGCGGTGGAGCCTCGCCGATCTCGTCCGATTTGGCTGAAGACCAAAGTCTGTCACGCGGACTATCAAAAGGTGTGTTTCACAGTTGTATGGGGTTTTCAACCGAAACATTGAAGATCATTTGATGCAATTCACAATCCTGGCCTTCTTAAGACCTAAAACACTCTAGTTTCTGAGCTATACGCCCGCGAAGATGTGCAAAATGTTTTCGTGCAGACTATTTCATTTCATTGGACTATTTCAAGATCACTCAGGCATGCATGACGCTTCAGAATGGTCATTCAAATTATGCCACCCCATTAGCCATGCGACGTTCGAGAAGAAAGGGTCGTCAAGTCGTTCATGTCTGCCGTGCGTTATCACGGTTTCCAGATAGGACGGACGTCTATTGGCCTTCGATTAATGTTTTGCGGGCAGTGGAAGATTCAAACAAGAATAAACTTTTATATTACATAATGTAATAAATTGGGCGTTGGCACCGGATAGTACGGTGTTAAGACTTGTAAAGAAGTCGAAACTCACTTAGACTTAGGACTTAGACTTGTCGAAATTATACTCATAAGCGAATAACTTAAGAACAGTGTCATGGCCGAGTATGGGAATGCAAGTGTACAACTTAAACTTGCGGACAGATATGCACGAACACCATGAGAAAGGGCCACAACACGAGCACATAACAATATTTCCTTAAGCAAACACGTCTAGCACCGCCGCTGCCATTTCTCAGCGAATTGAAGCACTACAAGTGAGCGCTAGGGTGGCAATTTCGCACGGCCAGTTTACCAACACCTCTAACATCATACACAATTTAATGACGGTTTCCATG